TTTTTTAGCTCCCACTACCGCCCACCACCCCTACTATTTCCAATACCTCTATCACTCGGACCACCCCGCTACGAGTCTTACCACAGTTACCACAACTACTATTTTCTTTGCGTTGACGCTCCCACAAAGGTGGATTTCTAAGCTAAAGACAACCGCAAAGAAGTCCCTAGTAAGTGGAATACCTTTTCTGTTCCCTGACTTTGTCACTGTCACGCTGGCTTTGGTGCTTCGTCCCCTGCCCTTTCTCCTGCTCCTAGTGCTTGTAAAGCACTCCCAGCAGAAGCAAAAGCAAAAACAGTAGGGGAAAACGTGAAACAAATTCCGGAAAAAACCTGAAACAAATTCCTGGAAAAAATCTCCATCCTTTTGCCACCGTAGGTGTTGAACAGAATACTGTATCACGAGCTGCGAACCGAGGCAAAGCCTCTTGAGCCAGATCCGTCAGCAGCTGTTGCCCTTCTTGGAAGACGTTCTGGAGTTCGGGCTTGGCTATGACGCACGGCTTGGTTTCTCGACGTACTGCAACTCATGAAATTCATGTCTTATCAATGTTGTTCCACTGGGAAAGCTGGCAACTATAACTGCAGCACACATTGCAGTATATGCTTGATTGATCAAGTTCCAGTGGCAAGACTGCAGTCGTGTTAACTTTTGTATGTCAGGCGATGGGGAAAAACTTGGGAAACCAGTGGAACATATTGGAACCCTTGTTGCCACCGCCGCTCTCTAGTGGCAGGATGCTGGTCTTGGGGACGATGGCATCATTATGCGCCATTTGAATCACTTTTTGAATCCACACATAATACTAGCTAATCCTAGCTAAATGTATCATATCCCTATGCAGGGGGAATCCTGCACCAGAAGCTTTGGGCTTTCACGAGTACGGGAACCATGCGACATGTGTATGGTTTGTTTGACACTACACGGGGAAACATGATGGATAGCTTCTTTGCAACTCAGGTTTAGTGCAGAACATAATATGCAGAACTGAGGGAGTATAATTCGCGTGAACCGCCTTTCAAGCCAGCAACGACCAATCGGGGAAGCTCGCAACTGCACGTTCAGAGGATCAGAAGAAGACACCAACAGCACCATAGGTGTGGAGAATCATACCTCCAGGAGAAAGACATTTTTGATACCACTGGACTTCCTTGTAAAGATGTATACGGCATTGCACAAAACAACATAATTAGTGCATATCTCGTCAGGAAATACCAGTAACTGTATAGTCAGGAACCCAATCATTGCTCCGTCGATCCTTTGCCAAAAGGAGCTCTGATATGCTCTGATGGAGGGTAGTGCATGGCAATAGACCATACACTGAAAGTGTTTGGATCCAAGTCTTTGAGTGTCCTCATGATTTTGGGGAGGTGAACGGTTGGAGGGTCCAGGTTCTGTGATTTTAGTGATTGCCCGGGCCCTTGCGACTGGAGCCTTCACAAACTTGGAATTTGGGGTTGGGGGGGGGTCCTCATGGTCCTCAGGCTTGTACACCTCATACACCTCATCCATCCACCTTCCCTGTGGCTCATTTCAGGAAGCGGGACAGCTGCGGGAAACCTTGCAGATGACCACGGCCATCGTGCACTACTATCCTGATAGCACCAAGCAGGAGAGGTCGAAGTATATGGGTTGGAGGTCTTTCTTGAAGACGAGTGGTCATGTTTTGTTTATTTATATTTATTTATTATATTATTTATTATATTTTTAAAATAGATATTCCATTTGTGTAGACAGGACAAACGCGCTTGAGACTGTATCACCTGACCTACAGGATTTGCAGTGGTTCAGGTTTAAAGGACCTCCCCAAACACCTAGGACTTATATATTTCAATATTTAAGAAACAATAGACCCGCTGGGTCAAACGAGGGGATGGGGAGTTCCAGATTTTTCCGCCAACCTCAAGTTGAAGTCAGAATCATGCCAGATGCGCGACAGGAACTCTTACCCGGGCATGGGCAAATTGAAGATGTCGCAGCCAGTGACAGTGAGGCAACCCCCAATCTGGCAGATGTTCATTCCATTCTTCAGGCTTTAAACACTCTGACATAGACACAATAGTAGGGTTGCCAGTCTGATCACAAGGATGTGAGCATGTGCTTAAAGTCTCGACAGACATCGACAGACCCACAATTTCGTGAGGCAAAGACGTCTCAGAGGCCTTTGCAAAAAAAAAGAATGCACATCCATTCTTTCCTGAAGGAACTTGAGTCACTCAACATACACACATTTGGAAGGGTACACTCGTCAGGATTGGGATTTCTCGCTACAGGATTGGGGCTGCCAAGCCTCTCCGTCGGACTCACCTGGACCGTGGACCGACCTGCCAGGAGACACTTCTGACACCTGCGGCCTTCCACTGCGATGATTCATTTCTCACGCTGCCACTTGGTTCTTAAACAAAACCCACAGCAGAATAGGCAAAAATGATATCCAATGGGAAGAAAGGGGATCAGAGAGAGAGTTGCAATGCTCGTCGCTTGGCCGCTTAGAATTCCGGTGTTTGACGCACAGGCAATGCTTCCTTGTCGCACCGGCAAAATGCAGCATTGCGCTAGGGCCGCTAGGGTTGGCGTCCGTCGCTGCTAAGTTGCTGCTGCAGATTGCATGCCTACGTGGGGAGCATGATTACGTAGTACTGGTAGTGCACGGCTCGACTGAATTGTGCGGATATCACCCAGAGACACTCGCCCAGTGCAAAACGGCCAAGTCGGTGCTGCAGACGCCGCTCACATATTCACAGACACACGGACACACAGGCCCAAGAGGATGTTCCTACTGTTTGTAGAGCCCCTGTGATCAGCTATAGTGACTATGAAATAGCGAGAAAAGGTACAGTATATAAAGTCTAAACTCCTGAAGCAGTCTTGAACACTGTTTCTAGCCATTTGAGGACGACTAAAAAGTAACATAGACGAACGTTTTAAAATGTATCTCTCTCTCTACATATATATTATATATATTATATATATATATGATTATTATTTCTTTCAAGCTTCATCTTCTGTGAGGAACCTCGAGAGCACTTCTGGGATCCATGGCCTCTTGGACGCGGACCACGCCGCCCCGCGGATCCGGCGCTTCCGCTACGAGGCGGGCTTTCTTTCTTTACAGAAGGAACAAAACATGGTTGTTGTGTTCTTTGTCTTTGATGTAGTGTGTTTAGATCATTTTTGATCTTTATTGGTCACAAGATGGGTCATGCTCATCATCGTCACTTATCACTTGCGACCGTGTTGTTCCTGTTATTCGATGTTATTCATTGCTTTTCGATCGATCTCGAAGTGACTTCCGGTATTCTTTCCTTGTCAGGACGGGGCCGAGCCCTTTGCTGAGTCTTCCACGACGGCATCGACGTCCGTGATGAACTTGTTCGTGGGCGGCTACCTGCAATCCTGGTCCGCCGGCCGCTGGCCGAGCTTGTTACACTCAGGCTCCAACCCGAGTGAGGACAACTTGGAGGGCGTGCGGGAGTCATTGGGTGGGAACGCTGGAGGTGTGCATGCCAAAAAGTTCCAGCTTTAGTGGCGTGGACGAAGAGGTTTGTACTACTGTTTGTACTTCAATGCACCTGATATTAGGAAGAACACATCTTTGATACCACTGGACTTGCTTGTAAAGAGTTACACGACATACATAGGTCAACATAGTGCGCGTCTCGTCAGGAAATACCAGTAACTGTATAGTCAGGAACCCAATCATTGCTCCGTCGATCCTTTGCCAAAAGGAGCTCTGATATGCTTTGATGGAGGGTAGCGCATGGCAATAGACCATACATTGAAAGTGCTTGGATCCAAGTCTCTGAGTGTCCTCATGATTTTGGGAAGGTGAACGGTTGGAGGGTCCAGGTTCTGAAATTTTTAGTGATTGCCCGGCCCGCTGCGAATGGAGCCTTCACAAACTCGACTTGGAATTTGGGGTTGGTTTTTTTCTTTTTTTATGGTCCAGTTTTGTAGCTTGTAGACCAACCTCGCAATTGGTTAATTCGGGTAGATACTGGCTAGTGCTGTCGCATCAGCTCTCACATGTACCGATGCCAGAACCGTATTGGGCAGTCCATTTCCATGAAACAAGAGTGTTGGTGTTGATCCTGGACGACCCTGAGAAAGGGAATCATGGACACCCTGCTCTCCAATAGCATTTGCTTGGAACCCTGTTTTTTCTTCCAGCAACTGCAGGAAGACCGGCTTTCCATCACCATCTTTTTGGGCATCCCGCCTCTCAGCTGGAGATGAGATGAATGGAACTGGTGGGGTTGCAGCAGTTTTGGGGAGCTCAAACAGCCATGCCCGTGTTCGGGTAGCGGGTAGCACTGTCGAATCAAGCAAGTGGACCCAGCCACGACGCCCTAGGTAACCAGTCGGAACACGATGATCTTTGTTTTTTCAGTGGAATTCCTGCGGTCGCGGATTGCTGCGCATCAACCGAAGGAGCGCGGCCAGAAGGTTCATAATGCATATCATATCCGGGTTGTTTGACCACAAGCTGTGATATGCCGATACTTAGTGACTTCGTGGGTTGGTGGCTACAAACCGATTTGCTTTATTCGGCTTGGACCTGGTGAAGGAGTGGGAAAAGGCCCCCCAACAGACGTAGCTGGAATAGCTGGCCAATCTAATGGTGATGATGGTTGGTGGACATTTAAGGACACTTTAGGTTGGGGCCATGCGCCTTGTAGACCAATCCGTTCTTTAAGGAGTCCTACCATGCCCTTTCTGTTCACCAAAAAGGGTCTCAAAACCACTCTTTTGAATCCTTTTGAATTCAAAAAACAATAATGGACGACACCTTTTTTTAAGGAACACCTCTTCCTGAAGTCTGTTGATCATTTTCTCCAAAGGAATTCCTATGTGAGGGTTGTTTTCTTCGACGCAGCGATTCTCCAAGGGAACTTCATGGATTCATCGGTGGCTGGGCGCAGTGTGTGTGTGCGAACGTCATCGGCGCGGCGTCACTGGGAGACTTCAGAGGACCGAAAAGAAAAAGCGTGGCACTTGTTACTACTAGCGATGCACTTGTTACTACTAGCGATGCCATGTCATGTTTGATTTTGCTTGTTTGATCATTTCAGAAGTACTCACGACCCACAATCTTCCTCAAACTCTACTGGATAAAGCCAATTGCAGCAGTAGAACATGAAGTCAAACTGGCTCGTAGAACTCCATACAACGGTGCCTTTTCTACTTACTTGTAGCTAGAGGTTTGGATTTATTTTGACAACTATATAGACTAGACACTGACATGCCTCTAGTGTACATGTCTATATTTGTTTATGTTTCCAAGCCCATCTGTTTTGCAACGAAAGCTCCCCGACCCCTCCGAGCTCGATGTTCGGAGCTCCCGTGAATCCTCTCCAAATCCCTCCGAGGTGACCACGTTCACACGCGTGGAGAGCAAGAACAACGAGCCACATGACCGAAGCGGTGATGTTCAGCCGTGAATCCATAGCGTTGTGGGGTTTAGAATGGGTCTAAACGCCATCAGTGATCGGTGTCGTCATCCCAACCCTAGGGGTGTCCAAAAGTCGTAGTGATCCTTCAGAAGGATGGATCCTGGGCCGTGGGTGTCTAAGGTTTTCACATTTCGATCGGACCCACCGAGCAAATGAATTTTCAGAGGAGAGTTGACCTGAGCAGGCGATGAGATGGTGAAGATTTCATAAGCGATTTGACTGGATTTGGTCCTACATACATATGAAACCACACCTCAAAACCGGAGACCGGACCGTTGGTCGGTGTTGGTCGGACCTCCCACAGGGCCGAGTTGAAACAACCGATGGAAGCCCCATGTCGGTGACTTTTTGGGATGGTGGTGCTGGTTGGGTCATAAATGGGCAAACGTCAGCTATGGACTATGGACATGAATTCCGTCCCCCCAAAATCATGCGACAAAAAATGCCTCGGCGTAACTCTTGAGCGTGGATTGAGTCTTGCCAGCCTTTTTGGACGAATGTCTTCAGATCCGAGCAAGAGTCTGTTTGAACCCCTGACCGCCATGTTGATGTTGTTCAGCTTTGGGATAGAAAGCTTTCACCTCAAGCTTTGGCGCTTACATAAGGCTTAAGGAACACTTCTGAATGTTTGAACTTCCAGGCAGATGTGTGCTCCTTGTACGCTGTTGTTCGACGCAGACAGCGGCGCCTCCAGGTCTATGAGTGGCTTCAAAAGGCCCAACACATGGACGACTGGTCGGCCAAGGCCATGTTCCAAGAGATCCAGGACACATGGAACCGATCTTGCTGGAGAGTGGCTACGTTCGTAGCGTCCTTGCTCCTAGTAGCGATTCCCTTCGTTCATAGTAGCTTCTTGCTCCTAGTAGAAATGGGGCTTTGATTTCCAGCCACGAGGCAAGAACATTCCATGTTTGTGTGGATCAGAACTTCGTCGTACAACAGTTTCCGTGTTTCAGAGCGGATTTCCAGAGTATATACATCCCTTGAATAGTGAATGCTGGTTTGGCGGGAATACTCCCTTAGCATTTTTTCTTCTTGTTGGGTTTGGGGATTGGATTCCCTACTTGATTCACATTTGCTTTGGTGTACCCAATCAGTGGCTAACTTTGGGGATTGGTTTCTCTTGAAAAAATAGCAGGGGGAGGGTAAGTAACCAGTACATTTGTCTTAAGTCTTAGAAACTGAAAGGACTTATATGGTTAGAGGACTTCCTCACAAATCTGACACAATCACTGTTTTTTGAAGTCAGGCTCCTTTCAACTATCATCAGTGGAAGGCCTCCATTTTCCACATCTGGAACATCGCAGATGTCCCAGGCCCAGGCTGTGATGTTGGTGTCCCAAAAACGCCGACGGATCCATTAAGGTCCTTTTTCGGTGGCAGGACATGTACAGCCGCGAGACCTTCCCATCGCTACGGCGGAAGTGGGCTGCTTCCGGGACCTTGTCGCCGTGTCGGCAGAAGCACCTGCGGGCATCTGAGAGATGAGAATTCAGGTCATCAAGTGCTTCCAAAATTGCTTTGGGGAGAAACACCAGGATCAGCCCGCATTCCAACGAATTTCCCACGGCTTTCGGCATGTCTTCCAAGGACATTTCGCGCACTTCTTTTCCAGGATCTCAAAAGCATCCCATGGTGTTGATCCATCAGGAGTCCATCGTTCGTTCTTCCCACCAATGGCGGGGTAGCATATACATGCATATAACAAGTATGGTCTCATGAAGACATCCTGTTGATTGGAGACACGCAGAACACATTAATTTTGGTTTTTTTTGGCAAACACAGGCGTTTGCTTCGTTGGACTCTGTAGCTCGGCACTGCCCCAAAGTCACACATTCTCTCAACCTGGGAGAGGAAAAGAGGCAATCAAGAGGCTTTGTAGCCTTCCAAACCCTCCTACAAGACGTTTTGGAACTTTGCGACTCGGCCAAGGCAATCAACAATGCTCGGCACCACTGCAGAGAAACCAGCGCTGCAGAAACCTGCGTATGACGAGGCACATTCTTTCTTTGCAGCTTTCGGATGGCCCCTTTCTTTAAGATCTCTACACTCGAAGACCTAAACGTTCTCAGAGCGAAGACAGTCTCCTTACCCAAGGGGTAATCCCGCTATCCCATTCCATGTGGGTGAGATTGCAACCGCTTTCCCCTTCGAGCCAGTCGTATGAAAGGTTTAACGGGCGATGAAGGGCCGATCCAAAAGGTGTCGGCACCGTGAGTCCTGAAGATGAACAGCGTTTTTCTCTCGACAGGATTGGGGTGGCTCGATTCTGGACAAATTGCTTTGACCTGCTGTTGCAGGGCACAAGCAGTGTCCCGCCAGAAAACTCATCTCACTAGTGTCCTGCCCAACTGGTCCGCTAGGAATAGCTCCAGGTCGAACATGTTGACTCCTGTTTGTTTCGACACCTTTTGGAGAAAGGGTGGAGACCAACAAAGATAGTGTTCGAGTCACTGAGTGGGTGAGGTCTCACCATTCTGATTCTGAACCCACTTCTGACTGCTTTGTTGCCAGATATGGAGCATTTTTAAACCCTACAAAATCATCAAAATCCACTGACCTGCCGTAGATGGACAAAAATCACAATTCAAATCTTTGTACAATATGCTATAAATTCTAATATTTAGAAAGAGACCGCTCAGAGAAGTAAGAAAAGGCAGCCGATACTGTAGATAGAAAAGAACAAACCTTGAGCCTTCAGCTACGAAAGAGTCGACCCCAGCACCTCCAATGGGGTCTGTTTTTGTCCACTGGCCCAAGTTCTTTTTGCAAGTCCAAATGGATTTTTTGGGGTGGGGAAGTAACAAAGATGAACAAAGTGCGGGTTCTAGTGAATGGTTTGAATATATTTGAATGTTGAATGTATTGTCCAACTACGGTACCGGTTGCGGGTCAGCGGGCTTTCAACCAACTGATCTATGAGACTCACGATCCAAGTGACTTACACAACATGTCCCAAAAGTATTTGTGTGTTTTGTCATGTGTTATCAATCTTTCGAGAGCCGGGCAATGTGGTTGACCTGTCACATTCTCATGATTCTTTTCCGTGTTAAAAGGCAAACGCATGTTTGTAGTTCCAACAGATAGGAACGATTGCCCGAAAATGTCTATGTAAACGAACCTTAACTAATCTAGATTACAGTACTTATCTACTTGTCTATGTAGTTGGGGCCACTACAATGTTTTGTTGCTGAGTTTTCCTTCTCAGCAGCAGCGAAAAGTAAATTGGTAGGCTTACTTGAAGGACGTTTCTTCAATCAGCATAGAACATCATTTGTGAATCATAGAACCTGCAAACCGACCCAAGAATGTGGAAGACTGCTTTTCTGTATAGACGAGTGGCTTTCAGGTTCCTTATTATCCTTCGGGGTTGTAATTATACTTCCATTGAAAGTCATTGAACTTCGATTCGAGCTGTTGCTTTCAAAGTGCTCTAAGTGTTCCGCCAATCCAGCGATGGGCAGAACACTGATTTTGGGGGCATGGGTGCACCGCGTTCCACGCTGAGCACTGTTGACATCCGTCCGTCCGGTGCCCTGAAAGGCCCTGCAAAGGCAAGAAGAACTGAAGATCGCGAGAATATGGGTCGGTCTCACGAAAGATGGACTCCCCTAAATCACAGTGGCTCTGAGTGATCGATACAAGGTCACGGGTAGAGAGGTAGAGGAGCACTAATAGGTTTTGGTCGCAATTAAAGAACATTGATCAACAAATTAGGTCCATTTGCCAATGGTCCATGGTTTGGGGGATTTCCTCTTTCAAGAGACCGAGATCGACCATATGCGCTTAGAAAAAGAGGGGCATTAATGGCGACTGGGTCAGATTCCCATCTTGGGTTTTGCCAATGTGACATTAGATGACATTAGTTGCTGTACAGTTGCCCCATGTTCTGGACTCCTGGACAATGAATGTGGACACCATCCACGTCTCCACATCACAAAGACAGTGTATCCTGGCTATTTTTTGGAACTCCGTGTGGAGGGCTTTGTTGGTTTAGAGGAGAGCATGTGCTTCATGATGGGTTGTTGATGCACTAGTATGGTTTCTCCATTGCTCACTCAATAATCTTCAAAAATACCTACCTGACCACGAGGCATTTCTATACAAGGATGGGTCTACACTACTGTATTCAGGTCAGTGCACTTGCCAACCTCGCACAGCGTTGACAGTGGGATCCAATGGAAGAAGTGTTTGCAACATGTTGCAATAACAATAGCCACACTGCAATAACATGTAACATCAATTTGTTCCAAGACTAAAGAGGCTCCAGTTTTGCATAGTTTGCGCCCTCCAGCATCAATTCATGGACAAAGTTGGCTGGGGGTCCATTCTTAGCGAGTGGTATCATGACATGTCACAAAACAACACGCAGCTTGACCACGACTATGTACGACTACGTCCAGATTTAATTTATGTTTAGAGCCATTTAACACCAAGAGAAAGCTGGCAACACTCCGTCCTGATTTAACGACTCAGCGCACTATATCCGCTGCCCCTCCTTGGCAAGCATTTCGATTTGAGCTTGGCACTGAGGTGGGTCACCATCAGAGATGCCAGTGGTAAGAGGTTGATGTCCTGAGTGCGGAGCCTCTGTCAGATTCGCGTCGCTCGTTATTCGTGTTCCTAATAGCTTCTTGTTACTAGTAGTAAGGCCAGGAGCCCCGTTCGTAGCGTTCTTGTTCCTAGTTGTTGTGCAGGGCTTTGGATGGGCAAAAATAATGCACCTGTTGTGGCTTTGCACAGGTCTGAGCTTGTTGGACTTTGACCTGCAGCATGAACTCTTGAACGTTTTCACGATCTTTTGTCAATAAGTACAGGGCTTTCACTACCTCACCTCAGAAGTCAGCTCTTCTCGCAATCAAGGTTCAGTGGCTAAAATCGAGATGACAGTCACAACCACTTTTGGCTTGCAAGGATCCAGAAGCATGTTGGAAGATACATTCGGATAGAGGCAGCACGGATCACTTGAAGATAATGCGACAGGTGTTGCTAAAGATCAAAGCCTTTGAACATCGCAACAAAATTGACTGCACTGCATTTGCAAGGCTTCTGAACACCGCGGTGCCGCGCGACCAATGCGCCAAAGAAGACGCACGGCCGTTTTCCAGAGATCGGAAGAAGGGGCAAAGATTCAATCCAGTCCGGATACCTAGACCTAGAATGACCTAGACTTTCCATGCAACTGACCATTTGGTTTATTTGAGGAACTTCCCAACCAATGGGTTGTGGTCAAAATGAGCGTCAAGGTCTTGGATATGTGACCACAGCTGGGAATGGGCACTGGGACTGTCTCGTCACGTGCCTTCTGGGAAAGTTCGATCTCCGCTAAATCTGAGATCACTCCAGGTTAATTAGAGCGGTAAGGAAACACTACTATGATCCTTGACATGGCTAAAACTTGATAAAGCTGTTCGTGTTCCTTTGGCATGTCCACCAGCCAGCGGATGCTTGTATTCGCTTTTTACTTTGTAGGATGCTGCACCAGCCGTTGACACCGGAACAATGGGCAAGCAGGAAGTGAAACGTTCGTTCCTCCGCCGGTCTCTGTGAGGGCGCCTGGCTAAACCAAACACTGGGTGACAAATGACCCATAATGACCCTATTAGCACTGGTGCTGTGCCCTCAAAATGGAAATAAAGGGGGCACAGATCAGGTGTGTGCAAACACACGGCAGGCGCCAAGCACGGATGGATTTCGCTGGAAGGTGGTTGGATCGCTAGAGCGAGCGTTTGAAGAGGAAGACTATATTTTCAGGCTTCAACACAGCATGACTGGTCTGCCAAACATCAATGAACCCTGCTGAAAAAGAGATACTGAGGATGGCTGTATTGATGTTTACCAGAACGAAACCGTGGTACACTGTGGCTTGATCGGTTCCTTTCCAACTTCCTTCTGTGGACCCTATCCATTGCTTGACGTCGCTCGTGCGGAAATGTCCGGACGCAGTTGCGTGAGAAAAAAGGGACCACGGACGAAGCAGAACCGAACTGGTATGTCCCGGACGAACATGCCCCGAACGATCCTCCAAGACCTGACCGAACAATCCGCAAAATTTAATTTAATTCTAATAGCTTTTTGTTACTACTAGTAAGGCACTTGTTACTACTAGCGTGGCACTTGTTACTAGTAGTAACAAATTGTTGAGTAAGGACCATTCATGGCACCCAAATAGACATTTGCCTGTCTATTGAAAGCAGTGAACTCTCAACATTGGACATATTTGTGTTGCGGACGAAGCGTTTATTTATTTTTCTCACCATGATTCGTGGTTCAAAAAACTGGCGTGACATTTCCCAAAAGACCGAACTGAATGTGATTATTATTACTATACGTATACAATGGTATATATAATACATTGTAAAACATATTACAATTTATCTATTATAATATATATATCTTATATGCTTCTACTATCACTTCCTGTTCACTCCTTGTTTGAGTGTGGACTCAACAACTGTGGCCAAACTTGCGAAGAACTCAAGTTGTAGGGAGTATCATCCCAAGACCCGACCCATGTTCTTCCAAGTTGTGAAGCGGGTTTTCATTACCATTACCACTAGGTACCATAATGGTTTTGTTTTTAATAGGTAGTATTCCAAGTACCTTTGGTAACCTTTGGTACAGTTGTACTAATTACTGATGTTTTGCTATATTGTGCTGCTATAACATGATATGAATGTTCATGTTTGAGGGAACTATCACTTTGCCATAGGAGGCCACAATCATTCTGAAGCAATTACTGTTGATTCCTATATGTTGACTTGTTGACTTGTTCTTTCTCCATTCCTGTCTGCCGGAACAAGCAGAAAAGCCAGGACAATAGACATGATAGGCCATATAGTACAATATGAGACAGCCAAGACAAGTGTGACCGCGAGCAGGGAAGATGATCTGGACACGCCTCCAGAATGGCCTGGACGCATCTCATGAGAATTGTGGATAATAAGATCCTTCAGTGGTGCACCAATGGACGGGATCAAAGAATAGCCTGGTGCACCTCAAGGAAACTTGTTTCAAATCGGTGTTTCGGCTCCAAAATTGACGTTTCGGGATCCAATCTGGATCTTCGTGGTTGTTTTTGTTGCCGTTGCTGTTAAACGGACAAAAAAGACTCGGCAGGTCCATCGGTTTCGTCACACACCGTCCGCGCAGGTGAAAGGCCGCAACGACGCCGTGCAGGCGAGAGTGGATGTGGCTGAAGGCGCCAAGAAGGTGCGGAGTCGACACGGCGCCGGCACCCAGTTTCGTCAACGGACAGATTCTTAAGCCTGGTTGGCCTCGACCTCCTACTTAATCAAGTAGGCGCCTTTTAATGAAGTAAGGGAGAAGTTCGCTTCTAGCTACTTAAGCTACTAGACATCGACGCCGGATATCTCACGCTGCTTCTTGAGGGCAGGGGGAGCTTCCTTGAAGAAGCGCTCATACTTTAGGGAAACTGAGTATAATTCCTTCCACTCACTCCACTCGTTGCATCCTCTTGGATCCATTTTCATGCTCTATTCTTGGTCCGTGGCCGCAGCTGTCTCTAAACGCAATTCAATTCAATCGCTGATCCAGTTGTGGCATTGAGGCCATGGCAGTCTTCAGTAAGATGTCAGGACGTCGTACAGCGGTGCCGGTGGTGCTGGGTGCTGCCGCACTGGCAGCAACCAGCTTTGTTGTTCCAGGAACTCCTGTCCAGCAAATCTCTGCCCGAACTCCTGTGGCTGCTCAGGCAGGGCCAACGCATTTCTTTTTGACACTGCATAGATTGACCTGTGAGCATTTCTGGGGTACGGTGCTCTGAGATTTTTTTAAATCAGAGACTTGATTTCAGTCTGATTGATATCAGCAGATGAGGGCATTATCCAAGAAGTGCCGCTTTCAGGTCAAGCAGGATGCAGTGAGCTCTCTACCAGGCCTTACAGCAGGCATGACCATGGGAATGACAGCTGCAGCAGCTGCAGCAAACCGCAGGAAGCCAGCGAGGAGCTTGTGGTTGGGCTGCACCACTGCACGTACAACTTCTCAATTGAAGGGTTAAACAATGTTAAACATGCAGGAATTCACTAATCATCACTAATCATGCCGTATTGACAAGCCGCTTGTATTGGTTCAGAAACGAAGTGTTCCCACCTCATTCCAAAATCCTGTTCGTGTCCAGGAGTCAAAGGTCAGTGGCAAAGGCCAAGAAGGAGCTGTCGGAATCCGGCCTGTTGCACTTGGTCGCATCCGTTCAGGATGTCTTGTCGAAACCTCACGAGGGAGATCGCATGAGGAATCTGAAGGCTCTGGCGGCTGAGCTGAAGCACAATCAGCAGAAGAGTACCAGCCCAATGGAGGGCCCCTTGCGATGGGTGACCAATATGGCAGCATCCCTTCTGTTGACCCAGGGCATGGCCTTACAGCCTGCGCATGCGGGAGATGTGATCAACTACTCTGATTTCATTGATTCAGTGAACAAGGGCGATGTTGAGATGGTGCGTGTTCAGCCCGACATGCTCTCTGCCCAGTACATCACTAAGGAAGGGGCCCGGCGGGAAGTGAACCTCATTCCAAACGCACAGATTGAAGATCAGCTCTTTAACCAGCTTGCTGACAAGAAGGCCTGGGCGGCTACAGTTCCCCAAGCAGGTTTGCTGTGAGGGGTTCTTAAATATACAAACGATCCCGGGCCAATATGATTTCTGATGTTTGGTCTCGCTTTGTGTCCCTGTGTCTCCCATGGCTCTTCGGGATTCTGCTTTGTCTCCTTGGTCTCCCATGGCTCAACACTGGTGGCAAACGCCGTCAAGGTTTGCTCCCGAAAAGAAGCATCAAGCTTTTGCTGCTGTTTGGGGCTCATGCTGGTGTAGTAAAACGTATATAGCCCAAAACAGAAGTTTGGTGCTGGCCAAAGAAACACACATGCTCTACTTGTTGTTCTTGAAACAAGCTAGAAAAGTTCAGAAGCAGCGTTGCAAGTTTTATTCACTCCAGATTTGTGATCTGAAGAAGGTATTGTCTTAGATCTCTTAGATCTTGGACCTACGCAGGTGGATGTGGTGATGTCGACCGGTGAGGCCGGATCTCCCTTGGACTTCCTGGCACGCTTCGCTGGTCCATTGGCATGGTTGGTCGCTGGCCTCTTGCTACTCTTTGGTGGTGTCGGTGGACCTGCCGGACCGGGTGGCCCAGGCGCCACTTGGGACGTTCGACACTGGGTTCGACCCAAGTCAGAAGCAGACCTTGCTTCACCCGAGGTGGTAATCCCTTTGAGCTGGGTAAGTCCAAAGCCCGGATCATCAAAGACGGCGACACCAAGGCCTACCACGGGTGGAAGATGCTGGAACCTGTGAAGACTCGAGACGTCTAATTTTAATTATGATTCTATTGAATTCTTGTTTCTAATAGCTTCTTGTTACTAGTAGTAAGGCCAGGAGCCCCGATCGTAGCGTCCTTGCTCCGTTCGTAGCGATGCCAGGAGCCCCTAGTAGCGATGCCCTTGCTCCTACCCCTGCCTATGAGATTCATACGCCATGGGCCATTGGGCCATGTTTCTGTTTGCTGTGGTTGTGATGTAAATTGGACCACCGCGTCACGGCAGTGCTCTCCAGGTGAAGTTTGGTGATGTGGCGGGGTGCGACGGCGCCAAGACCGAGCTAGTGGAGGCCTGACCGGGAACTCAACAGATGTGCAGAGAAGAGACATATACTGTACGTATACATATATATAGTTATACTATAATTATATATATATATGAACGTATATATATATATTAATATAAAGTAATATGCAATTATGAGATGGTGTTGATACATAATATACATCATCAACCATCACCAAACTATTCAGCACCATCCAACAAATCTGACAAGGCTGCGGAGAAGAGTTTGTTTTCTGAGTCTTCTTGTTGGCGTTTGATGTTCTTTTGTTTAGAGGCCAGATTTGGCCCTTGGGCAGATTCACCTTGAGCCACTTGCAGGTAGTCGACTTCCTGAAGAACGCCTCCAGGCACGAAAGATGACCGTCGTAGCTCCAGGAAGTACCATGAAGTACCGTATCCATGACCGTGCGTTTGACATTTTCTTGGGTTTAGGGAGTGACGAGCCCAGCGAGACGGTGCTCTCCAGGTACTCGGAGCTCGGCGCCCAAATCCCGAAGGGTGCCTTGCTGGTGGGCCCACCCGGCACCGGAAAGACCTTGCTGGCGAAGGCTGTGGCAGGCAGCTGACCTTTTCTGCGAAACGTCAAACTTTCAAAGTGACCAGAACACCACGACTCAAGAGCCCCAAATCATCTAAACTCACTCTAAACATCTCAGTTTTGGATTGTGGGATGCCTAAAATGACATGAAATCCTCGCCTCTCCACGAGGCGAAGCCGGTGTGCCCTTCTTCAGCATCTCCGCATCGGAGTTCGTGGAGGTGTTTGCTGGAGTGGGTGCCTCACGTGTCCGAGATCTCTTCGAACAAGCGAAGAAGTCTGCACCATGCATCATTTTCATCGACGAGATTGATGCCGTGGGACGGCAGCGAAGTGCAGGCATGAGCTGTTGGACAAGTGAGTGGCATGCTGGTTGTTCATGGGAACGGGCCGAATTCGTGAAAATTTGTAGCACTGGAGAGCCATTTTCCAGCTATATGTTTGTTATCATTGCATAATTATGTATGTTACCTGATTGGAATATCACCATAGTCGATGGTGGTCAAACTTGCAATCTTCGGAGACAAACAGGCTTTCCCGAGGCTTCGGACAGGGCAACGACGAACGTGAGCAGACCGTGAACCAGCTGCTCACCGAGATGGATGGTTTCGAGAGCAACAAGGGCGTGGTGGTCCTCGCAGCGACCAATCGAGCCGACATTTTGGATCAGGCTTTAGTGCGACCAGGCACGGCAGAACCACCTCCAGCTTGGGCTTGTTGTGGACCGTTGAGTCTCGATTCATTTACTGTAACTGATTCGGTTGGAGAGAAATGATGCAAGCATGCAACTCTTGAATCGGGGTCACTTCAGCTGAGAAAGTGTTTATTAACGCATGCAAAACTCCGTATTTCAGAAGTGATATAATCTGTGCATGCCCGTTTTGCCGGAAGAATGCTCAATCCCATGTAAAGCGATAAGGGAGAGAAAAAAGATAAGCCCGGGTAACTCTTGTTTGGATGGAGAGGACGAGGGATGTTTGCACAAGAGTGCAAAGTGTTGAGATGGACCAAACACACTTTGCCAGGATTGCACCAAACACGAAAACGATAGCAACAACATGTGGCAGCGAGCCTATAGCATCCTATAACACCTTCCCGTAGACAGGCCCATGCGTGATCTCCTCTGACAGTAAGAGGGGATGGAATGATGTTTGGCAAGTTGCCATAGCATGGGCTTCCACGCTGCAGTGCACTGTATCCTACACATGCTGCAGTTAGACAAAGCACTGTAAAATGATGAGAAAGAACAAATGATAACGTCAAAAGTGGTATAGTGTACAGATGTGCACAGTAGGGAGACCATTTGTTGCACGACCTCAGGTTGTAAATGTAACCGATCTGATGTGTTTTCTCCCGAATATGCATGCTGCATGCATTTGTTTCAATTGCTGGCAGGTCGCTTTGATCGACAGATCCAGGTGAGGTATCGAGAATTGAGCCCAGCACGACCGTTTTGTCAAAAGAAGTAGTTCAGGCTTCAACTGTGATTTGATTAATAAAGCATGATCTAAAGCATGATAAATCCGGTTCCATAAATCCGGCTCCATATTTCACTCGCTCTTGCTCCATGGTGCAAAGTCGCAGGTTCATGCAGGTGAAGATTTATCCCTGGTGAGGTGGACCCTCCCGATGTCCAAGGCCGCTTGGAGATCCTCAAGGTCCATGCCAAGGGGAAGAACCTAGCTCCTGGCATTGATCTCTCAGCGATTGCGAAGCAAACACCTGGACACTTGGCATCACTTGTCCTTTTTAACACCTCTCAGGCGACCTACGACCCTCTTGAGACGGCGTGAGCCAGTGCAACTTCAGGGGTTTGACCTTAGGAAGCAAACCTTTTCAGTGGCACTTCCCTTCTTTTTATCGAAATCAAGGGACTTTTAAATTTTTATATATACATTTAGACATTTGTTATCAGCATCTATACGTATCCGACTGGAAGAATCGCGAGATGTCCGGTTGCATTGCAACATCTCCACCAAATGAAGCCGAGGGATGTCCGGTGCTGATCTGGCCAATCTTTTGAATGAAGGAGCCATTGTGGCTGCAAGACAGAACAAGTCTGAGATCGACTCTGATGATATCTTCAACGCGCTCGAACGCATTGCATTGGGCTTGGAGAGAAAGGATGCAGTGATGTCAGAGCAGAGGAGGAGACTCGTTGCTTACCATGAAGCCGGTCACGCCATTTTGGGTGCTTTGGTGAATGACTATGATGCAGTCGCCAAGATTAGCATCGTGCCACGTGGACCAGCGGGTGGCGTCACGATCTTCATGCCTTCTGAAGAGCGCTTGAACTCAGGCAAAGTCCCTAGAATCCCACCCGAATATATCAATGTAAAACAACGACGTGGGCATTTTACTAGGAACAAGAAGCTACTAGCGGCTCCTGGCATCGCTACTAGGAGCAAGGACGCTACTAGGGGCTCCTGGCCTTGCTACTAGGAGCAAGAAGCTACTGGGAACAAAGGGCTCGTCGTTTCCTGTGAGATGCTTTCAGATTTTCTGCCCTCGTCTGGCCTCCCATCCCTTCGGCCGAGATTTCATTGGTGATTGGTGACCCATTCACAGGGAGACTTTTTGTTTGAACCATTTTGACTTTGAACTCACCCTTGTCAGGCCTTTATTCCAAGGAATTCCTGGAGAATCGCATGTGCGTGGCGCTGGGTGGGCGCTTGGCTGAAGAGATCGTCAATGGCAAGGACAACGTGACAACTGGAGCATCCAACGACTTCCAGCAATGCTACTTGGCGATGTTTGATACCATTCGATTCCAGGGTGGTTCAGGATAACATGATCTCATCAATTGAATCTATGAATTTCTTCCCCCCCGATCCGTCACTGAGTGTCAGCTTGGAACCAAGGCACCCAGGTGGCCAAACAGATGGTCATGCAGCTGGGCATGTCTCCTGTCATCGGCCAGCGGCAACTGGGAGGCCAGCAAGGTGGACCTTTCATGGGCCGCGATTTCATGGGTCAAGGCGCACCGCCTATGTCCCAAGCATTGAAGCAACAGGCAGGCTTGGGCGGACTTGCCCTCTAACATAGGAAGTCTTGCCACTGGCCGCTGCCAGACCACGTTCAAGCAACCATTTTCCATGCAACAATATTTTGAAGATGTTCAAGAGATCTCTGTCAGGTGGATGACGAAGTGAAACGTATTGTGGATGAACAGTACCAGCGCGGTATGAAGCTCTTGAGAGACAACATGTTTCTGCTGGATGAGTTGGCCAAGCTACTTTTGGAGCAAGAGAAGGTCAGTGGTGAAGAGCTTGTGAAGCTCATCAACAGAGCTGCGATTGAGGGGAAGTTGGCTGTGGCTAACAAGCAGATGGCCTTTGCTGCATTCACCGGTGAGAAGGTGGACGCTTCCAAATCGTCCGATTCCAAGCTCCCCAGCAGCTTGGATTCGGAAACGAGCTGATGGGAGTCAGGGGTATCCAAAAAACTGACCATGTCCAAGCATGCAATTGAGCAAATTTGACATGCTGACATGCTGAATTTGATGTTCTTTGTATCACGACCAGGCAAGTGCATTCCATCAATGACCTCCATGGCTTCAATGCCAAAGGGCTTCTGTGGTTCTACCCTCCGCTCCCGCCATGACCGCGCGGCTGCGCGCAACGCCATTGCCCGACTGGGGCTAGCGGGTGATGAGAAGATTGTGACCAGTGAGAAGGTTCTAGAGGAGGTTGAGCGAATGGCAGCTGAGCCTTGGACTTGTTCAGTGATGTTTGTGACCTGACAACTGTGTTTTTCTTCAATTTCAACTTTGCACTTCACCAAGTCATTCCCTTGAGATGCCCTCAGGATGTCTCCAATGGCTCGGCGTTGCCAAGCCAGGTGGTCCGAACTGCAGCGGTGCAGACCTTGGTCTCTTTGGCCGCTATGGCAGGGCCATCTGTGGCAATTGCGGATGACCTGGCAGTGCCGCAGAGCATCCCACAGCCCATGACTCAGATGGCCACGCCAACGCAAGCTACAGGCCGTGTCACCTATTCTCGATTCTTGGAATTTGTGGAGGAGAAGGGCACATATGAGGCCACATAGTAATCACATCAAAAACACATCCGCAATATGGGGTTTCATTGCGCGCGAGAATGAAGTCGCATAAATACACAGCAAGATGTCCTCTACTGCTGCAATCTCGTCTGTATAGGGTACCGTGTACCTTGCATGCGTAGAATTACTTGGCTTGCATTAGGCAGTGGAGAAGATGTTGGTAACTCCCCTTCATGCTCACTTTCCCCTTGAGGACGGGGCCGTGAAGCGCGTCGACATGTATGACATGGGCCGCACTGCTGTTGCCTCCGTGAACATTGCTGGTCGTGAGCAGCAGCTGATTTGCGATTTGCCTGGTGCCAGCACAGGGGTCATTGACAAGCTCGTGAAGAAGAATGTTGCCATTGATGTGCACCAACCGGAGACTTAGAATAAACTGCCCTTGAGTTCGTGTTTAGGTGTGAAACTGACGTACCGAGCATAAGCTGGGCTAGTGACTAGTGAGACGGTGTTCCTTTTGCTATGGTGACCTTCTGCATTGGGAGTGGCAAGCACTTCCCTGGTCCACGTGTTTTCAATCTCAGCCAGATGATGAACATGGGAGGTTTTCCAATGTTCCCACCAGTGTTGAACGACCTTTTTTTCGTTCAACGATCCACGACTCGCTTCGAGAAGCCAGGAGAAGCCAAACCCACTCTTCGGCGCCTTGGCCAATGCGGCATTGCCTTTGCTGACCATCGCAGGTTTGCTGTTCTTGCGATCAAGGAACCCTGGTTCTGGTGGCATCCCAGGGCTTGGCAATCAGGGAAAGGCCAGATCTTGTCAGATGTCGTTACAGTATATGTTATGATTTTAATATATTTTCCTCATTTTGGATCAATCATCATGTTAAACAATATCATGATTATCATAACTACTCCGTCTCACGCAACATTTCTTCCACGCAAGAGATGGTGCCATGGTATTTGTATTGTGTCGGGGTTCAAAAGCCATGCGATGCTCCTGTTGAACTGTGTTACCCGTGCGAATCAGGGTGCACCCCTTCCAGGCACAAATTATGATTTCCCCCGACACCGGAGTGAAGTTTGAGAACGTTGCCGGAATTGATGAGGCAAAGGAGGAGATGTAATCTTCGAATGTGTTGGGAATTCTGTATCATTTTTTGAATGTGTTTCATGTTTTCTTTTTTTGACATTTGTTGATACAGTCGGGCAAGTTCTCTGGAATACAGGCAGATGTCCAGATTCTACGGCATTTCCTCCTATGCATACAATATATAATCATAATAATAATAATGATAAATGATAATATAATATTGAATTGCCAGTTGATTGAGAAAGCTGATCTTGTTTCAGGAGCTCACTGAGATTGTTGACTTCTTGAAGGCTCCTGAGCGTTTTGTGAAGGTCGGAGCCAAGATCCCACGTGGCGTTTTGCTTACTGGTCCGCCGGGCACTGGGAAGACGCTCATGGCCAAAGCATTGGCTGGTGACGTGACGAAGAGGGCTATGACTCAAGCTTCCGATTGACAATTTGTCGGTTACAGTCTGATCTGTAGTTGATTCTGACATACCTCAACAATCCTAAACAGAAACAATGCACTATTGGGAAAGTGACCGTGATTACATAGTCATCAATGGATGATATATGATGATATATGATGTATTGTTAAATATATATATATATATACCATCAGTCAACCCTGCATCAATTGGCCGAGTCATTGTGACCAGTCGAGAAAAGGCGAAGCTGGCGTGCCCTTCATCCAATCCTCCGCCTCGGAATTCATCGAGCTTTTCGTGGGCGTAGGGGCCTCTCGTGTAAGAGATATCTTCAAGCAGGCCAAGGAGCCCAGGCATATCGTCAGGGCTGGAGTTTGGTGTATGTGGGAAAGATCTGGAAGATCACAAAACCAATACCGGTGGCTTTTGAAAGCATTTTCTACTCGACTTCCTTGGACGATATGAGCCTAACATAACTTAACATGTTTAGATCATATAAAACTCGTACTTTGATTGTGATCCTGAGGATATCCTAAGTTCCCCAAACAGTGTGGACACACTAGGGGTTCTTACGGTAGTGGTCAAGCACCGGTGTCTAATCGAGGTGTTGCACCGACGTGTCCGGCTAATTCGCCGCTGTTTACAATGCATTCATGCCTCTCGAAATCCTCCAAGTGCATTTCGACTGCGCAGGCTCGCAGAATCTGCTTGTCCGCGGTGCCGTGCGCATTTTCGAACATGGTGGTCACTTTTCGTGGCAGGCACAAGGGAAACCTCGTGTTTTTGTGGTCCAAAATCGACTTTGGGATCGGAGCGGCCTTACTTCGAAATGCAGATTTCGTGGCAGGTGCAGCACTTTGGACATGGCGGTGATCTTCGAGGCGCTCTGATTTCGTGACAGGTGCAGTGAGTCGTGACTTTTGGACATGTGGCTCGTTTGCAGAGTTCGTGGCAGCCACAGCACGTTGTGAACCTCGAAGTGCAGATTCTCGACGTGCAGATTTTGTGGCAGGCGCAGCACTTTGTGAACCTCGAAGTGCAGATTTTGTGGCAGGCACAGCGCTTTGTGAACCTTGAAGTGCACAAGTCGTCGCAGTCGCAGCAGCTTGTGAGCCTCGAAGTGCAGATTTCGTAGCAGGCACAGCGCTTTGTGAACTCCAAAGTGCAGATTCCGTGGCAGGCGCAGCACTTTGTCAACCTCAAAGCGCAGATTTCATGGCAGGCGCAGCACTTTGTGCTCAGATGCTCACCCTCACTCTCACTCTCTCTCTCTCTCCCCATTCTCACTCACACACGCTCAGGCTCGCGCTCACATTCACACTCACTCTCACTCACGCTCACACTCTCACTCACTCTCACTCACTCTCCCACTCTCACTCTCACTCTCACTCTCACCCTCTCACACTCTCACTCTCACTCTCACTCTCTCTCACTCTCACTCTCACTCTCACTCTCACTCTCACTCTCACGCTCACCCACACTCTCACTCTCACGCTCGCACGCTCTCTCACCCGCTCACCCGCTCACCCACTCACCCACCCACCCACCCACCCACTCACCCACTCACCCACTCACCTACTCACCCACTCACCCACCCACCCACTCACTCACTCACTCACCCACGCTCTCACTCACTCACTCACTCACTCACTCACTCACTCACTCACCACGATCTCCACGCGTCTAGATTTCTAGGCTTTCTGCTGCTACACCTCTTGACCTCAGACACGCTGTTTGGGGATTTTGAACCTCACCAATACACCTTGTCACTTGCAAGAGTTGAGAGGAGAAGGCTCCCTGCATCGTTTTCATCGATGAGATTGATGCTATTGGCCGGCAGCGTGGTGCTGGCATGGGAGGTGGAAATGATGAGCGTGAGCAGACCCTGAATCAGATCCTGACTGAGACTTGTCAAATCTAAACAGTGCTAAACATACTGCAATTCATTTAGATTTGTTGTCTCCTGTGCTGGTGTTGGCACTGCGGGATCTGGGGACTTCCAACCAAGGAGATGGATGGTTTCGAGGGCAACAGCGGTGTCATCGTCGTGGCGGCCACCAACCGCTCTGACATCCTGGACAATGCCTTGCTTCGACCTGGGCGATTTGACCGCCGAGTCACAGTGGGTTTGCCGGATGTGAAGGGCCGAGAACAGATCTTGGAAGTGCACATTCGAAATAAAAAACTTGCTGAGGCGACTGGGTGGAAGTGATTCAGCCGATGAAGTGCACACACACACCCACATTGTGGCACCACAACTCAAATACACCGTAACATGACATTCATGACACAATTTGAGACGCAAATGTCATTCGATAATGTTTGCAGGTACTTATTGTTTGGTTTGGGATGTTTTGGGATGATACGGTAAACATATGATTTGCCTTTGGTTAGTTATCTTGATATCTTCAACGCGACATAATATATACACAGATGCCCAAACTGTTTGCAGGGAATCACCTTGACAGAGATTGCCAAGCGAACTGCCGGTTTCAGTGGTGCTGACTTGGAAAATTTGATGAACGAATCCGCTATCCTGGCAGCTCGACGCAACAAGAACGCTGTAACCATGGACGAGATCAATGATGCCACAGATCGCGTCATTGCTGGCCTTGAAGGGCGTGCTTTGAACGACAATGCTTCCAAGAAGCTCATTGCATACCATGAAGCAGGCAAGCTGTTGCAGGGTGTACATGACAACAGCTGACTGACAGACGGCCACATTTTCTCAACAATCTCTCAGACTCTCAAGCGAAGTTAATGAAATGAACAATTAAAAAATATCGACATGCTGTACAGCAGCCGTGTCATGCTGAGTCCATTGTTTTTTGTGAGGTCATGCCATCGTCGGATCTTTGCTGCCCCATCACGACCCCGTGAACAAGGTGACGGTGATTCCCCGTGGTCAGGCGAAGGGTTTGACCTGGTTTACACCTGGAGAAGATCAGAGCCTCATCTCTGCAGCCATGCTGAAGGCGGATTCAACACGCTTTCACATGACTTCAATCATCTTCAATCTTTTGAGGTGGTAGGTTTCCGCTTTGCCCGGCCACATGCCAGACTTGCTAGGCGCGCATTGCTGGAGCTTTGGGTGGCCGTGTGGCTGAGCAGTTGGTCTTCGGAAGCTCCCAGGTGACCACTGGGGCTGGGGGAGACCTGCAGCAGGTGGAGCGCATGGCTCGAGCCATGGTCACCCAGTTTGGCATGTCTGATGCTCGGTATAATAGGGAAGTTTTCAAGGGGGTCATCGGAATTCAAAGGAATTCCCTCAGACTCGGGCCTTGTTCCTGTGTGAATCAGATTTATAATATATATGAGGCTCCAAAGAATGAAGACTGAAGAGTGTTCTCTTGGATCTAAGGAGGTGGGTTCCATTGCCATCGATGACGGAGGCTTCGGTGGGCCCAACTATTCAGAGGATTTGAACTCAAAGATTGACAGTGCCTCGCCAGACCCTTGCTGTGCGTGGAATCACTCCAGCATGGTAAAAACACGCCACCGCTTTGCGTGCTTGCGTGTGTCCGATATTGTCTTGTGACATAGGATGTTGATGCAAGTTGGATACGAGCTTGACAATCATTCCTCGTGGTCACCAGGTGCCATCAAGAACATCTCGGATGAGTGCTTCCTCACAGCATGGAATCTGCTGGAGACGCGCCGAGATTGCTTGGACAAGGTGGCTGAGGAGCTTTGCGAGATGGAAACCATCACTGGGGACAGGCTTCGGGAGATCATTGCCCAATACACTGAAGTGCCAGAGAAGATGGCTGTCGTTTGATCAACTTTAGCAAAATGCGTTTGAACAAGTTGTCGTTCCATTTGGTCACAGAACCACCGAATTCCTTTGCATACAATGCATGCGTTTAGAGACACGACTCTCTTGTACAGATTCCGTGAGACTCCTGCATCACAATGTTCAGTCTTGATGCGAGTGTCATGCTCAGTTTTGTTTCTCATTGTTTCTCAGCTGGATTGATGACAGTCACATCTCAAAGCTGCTCCAATCTTCGTGCACTGTCAAAACCTGAACCAAAGTATGAAACGATCATGTATGTATATCTCTCTCAGTCTATATATTATAGAGGAAACATTTCTTGCTTAAATGCCCAATTGGTTTTGACAGTTTGCACCCTATTCTCATGTCGAGCCAGACCATGTACACAGAAGGGCTCCGTATCGCTTGAAAAGATGGACACACCTTGATTGACATTGTTTGCCGATCCTATCATCAATCATCCCCAGTCAAATGCCCGCAGGAGTGCTCTAAGGATATTGCGATGTGCTGCATACTAATATAAAATAACATAAAGTAATGCTTTATAAGCCCTTATGACATCTTAGGGGATTCTCGTTTGATCGCAAGGTTTATCAGATTTCTGGTATTCTAGTCCAAGCGCTACTCAATTTTCTCCTTCCGGGCTTTGCGCTGATTCGGGGAGTTGCTCAGACACCACGTGAAAATGCGTGACACCTGATTTTGGATCGACCTTTCGATTCGTTCACTGCACGACGTTTTGCACGAAAGAATGAACTGGTCCAACAGTTGCACGACGTTTTGCCAAAAATCATAGATTGCGACCTGAACACAAAAGCTTGGCCTAAACAGGTTGAGGTTACTCAATTTTGCTTTATAGATCTTAATCTTACTATGTATATAACTTTATTTTGCTATATCTCACCATAGATAAATACACTTCAATACGCTTCAAACTTTTCACACAGTATCATTCTCTTCCAACATTTGCCACCTGAAGAGTCAAGCACGTCCGGTTTTGGTACCACTGCCGCACTCCTGCAACCAATCCAAACCTTCCTCGAACTCGCGCAAACCGCCAGGACCTCCGGAAACAGCTGTCAAAGATACAGAACGAGGTCCCGAACTGGGTGGAAAATCTGTCGCCGGAAGTTTATGCTTAGTCAAGCACGTTAGGTTGGAGGCCATCGCATTTTGTCACGAATCTCAAGGTCCCATCTCACCAGAGCGACCCTAAATCGACCCAATGTCCTGATGTGAGTGTTTCAGGTGGTCAAACTTCAGTCTGAGCGGGTCCAGTTGACCAAGAAGTTGGAAGAGGCAGGTGCGAAACACTGCACTGGTAATGATCGAAGGTATAGAGACATCCACCTAAACAATGGGTTTTGAATGGGTTAGACAGTTTGGAGTAGATTCGATGGTGCCGATATATGTCATATTATATGTACTGATGGTACAAACATGTATTACAAAGCTTTTACTTGCAGATGGGCTCCGAATCTACCAGTACTGGTACCATGCAAAACGCCACGAATGTCCATCGCTACTACGAGCAAGGACGCTACTAGGGGCTCCTGGCCCCTTACTACTAGGAGCAAGAAGCTACTAGGAGCAAAGTGCATCGGTGAACTGATTTGGGGCAGGAGAAGAAACGCCGTGCCGAGCTGTCTGCGAAATGGAAGAGGCTGAAGGACGCCGCGACGCCGCAGTCGTTGCCTCCCCGACTAGATGAGGGTGTTTGTTGGAAGATGCTGGAAGACCGGTGTTGGAAGATGCCCGGGCAATGGAGTCAGTTTGTTGCTGACCGGAGCACAGAAGCTCATCCAGGACCCAAAGGAGAGCTCTTGCTGACCATATCCCAAGAGTTTGCTTAAACATCCAAGGGCCTAACCAGCAACAACCAACTCCCCACACTTTACTGGGGCTCCTTGTGTGGGATTAAAACGATGCTTGTCGCCTTCTGCTGGCCATGCTCGGCTCGTAACTTAAGCTGAATAAGCGCACATCATGAACCTGGAAAGGACTTGGCACCACGTATTTCAGCCTTAACAGCACAGTACCCAACCATCCATAGTTTGCACCAAAGATTACTAAAGACTAAAGACCAAATGGAGCCAAAAAGATCAAAACACATTGCACATTGGATGCATTGAAGTCATTGGTCGGTGTGTCCTGCCGATTGAACCTGCGCCGGGCCCAAAAGCCTCAACCAGCAAACACCACCAGACGCACCGAACTGATCCCATTCGCATCACCTCAGCAAGTCGGGACCGAGTCATGGTGCTCCGCTGAATGCCAGCGTCGGAATGCCCAGAGTGGGTAAGCACGGTAAGCGTGGAGGTAGCTTGACCTTCTGGGTAGGTCAACCACTTAGATCTTAGATCGTCGTATTTCTGTACAGTTTACTTCGCATGTTCTACATTTGGGTTATACCAGTACTCCCCGGAACCCACCACAAGGTGAAGGTCTGTGGGAAGCGTCAGACACGAGCGCAAGTGATGTCGGTGGTTGACCTAGCCTCACCATGTCAGGGTGGGGGCGTACATACACAGGTGGCTTCGCTACTCGACTACAATTTCCAAATGCCGTGGCTGTCCAGCAAACTCTCAACCAATATGTAACAGATCTCAAATGTAAACCACCATTCCATCCAGACGGATTGGTTCCCATGCAGCATGTCAAGCTACATTTTCCGGTGGAGGCCATTCCTTTGACCTATGAGCAGTGCTTCCTTTATCGCCGGAATCTGCGGAAAATGTGGGCTAAAAATGGAGATCTTGACTCAGTTCCGATACCCCCTCCTCCGAATTATAGATGCTTCTTTTCTCTGGTTTACCCTATGCCGCGGCGACATTCGGTTTCACTTAGAGATATTTGCCGTTTGTACAGCTGTTTGTGCACGTTTTGATACATACCGCAACTCCCCAGTGCCCACCGTAAGGTGAAGGGCTGTCGGTAAGCGTCAGACAGGAGCGCAAGCCACGTCCGTCGGTAGGTCAACCACGGTCTCCTGGCTTTGACCCACAGCCAAGTCATTGATGCTACTAGGAACAAGGTTCGCTACTAGGGGCTCCTGGCATCGCTACTAGGAGCAAGGACGTGTAGCAAAGGGCATCGCCACTAGGAACAAGAAGCTATTAGGAACAACAAAGTGAGCCCCGTTTCCATGCAGTGTGCCGATCTTCGCTGCCAAGTTCCTGGGAAGAGGTCGCTGCCAAGTTCCTGTGCTGATACCGTTCAAACAGAACACACAGAGAAAACACCGTGCATGCATCACTGTGATGTTCACTGTGATCCCGGTGATCCCCATAGCATTTTTCCGCATCGAGTATGGAGTGCTGTTTGCAGTACTGGAGCGCTGAAAATCGAAGGCCAATCTACCGTCAACCGAAGGGTAAAGACATGGGATGCAGGTGCTCTCGACGGAAGAGTGCTCCCCTGGCCACCAGGGTCGCTTGTCGATCCCGAGAGGTTCCAAGAGGTCGAACGAGAATAGAGAACCCTTTGGTGGCCATCGCTACTAGGGTGGAGGCCATCCCTATTTGGGTGGAGGCCATCGCCCTACCTGACCTGCCCTTGGAGGCCTTTGAGACCGAGGCATGTTTGAGTTCGAGGAGCTGGAAGCAGTGCCTCGGTTGACGGATGGGGGAAAAGATCGGCAGCCGAAAGGACACCTCCAAAGAATTCAAAGGACCCAGAAAAGATCCATTTCTGCTGTCTCTACCAGAGCCGAAGAACGGGTTCCCTTCTTCCAGGTGTCCAAACAGTATGTCAATGTGGCTTGTAGAGTCGGATCATGACAGGTGTCATATTGATTCGTTATTCAAGCCGTAAAACTTATGTAAAACCTCCCTAGTTGGGGCTTGGAAGGACATGGGTGTCCTGCTCACATGCCAAGCTACCGCAGACAGTGGAATATCGATGGTGGTACACCATTTTGTTCCGTGTTTATTTCAAGCGAGTGACTGGGTCCTGGGTTTCAGGTGAACCTGGAACATGGTGTGGGTCTATCATGTTTGATCAAGAGCGGCTAAGCCGCTCCACCACGGCTCTTCCGGGTCTTCACCCGGCGTCCAAAAGCGTACTTCCTCCGGCCCCACCGACGTGCGTCCTGGCTCAGGCGTTGCCCTTCGAGGCTGTGGCCGTCTATGGTGCTGGCTCTGAGGAGGCGCGGTGCCAGGCTGAGCATGGCTGAGCATGGTGTTGGATGTAGAAATGACACAAAAACACTGAATCAGACTTTATACATGGGTCACTGTAGTGTTTGTGTGTTGTTGGTTTTGAGCCTTTGATGAGAGTGTGTCACAATATAATAATGCAACAAACATGCATATGTCCACTTCAAGGGCATCTCAAACCTTCAGACCTTACAGTAGTGTACCTGCAAAATGTTGCATATTCTTGAACAAACTCAAACTCCCAGCACCTCACCTCACCATCCCAACATGTTTTTATTACATCCCAATCTTCCCCTTGTACGGGTCACAAATCACCTACCCACCGCTGTCTTTCTGCCACTCCAGAAGTTTCGGGGACCCGCGCGGATTCCGCGCCAGGTGAATGGACTGTACGAAGACACCAAAGTCGCTGCCCATGGCGCCCAGATCTTTCGGCCCGGACGCCCCGTGAGTGCGGCGGTTCTGATGTGGGATGAGGGGCTGGAAGAACGGATGGGTGGAAGGTCAGAGGTTAGGTAATTACTGTAAATGGTCGTTATATCGGTTAAGTGATATGTAACGAGTGTCAAATCAACATCGTGGTATTTCAGTATGTGGTTTCTCTTTGTGCTGCGTGTTCTTTCGCCCTAGACATATTCTTTTCTGATGGAGCTTCTTATTCCGCACCTACAAGTGAGAGCTGCTTACTTACAGTCCTGCTCCCCAACAAGCCAACGATGGTGAAGAACGAATCTATGTGCTTTTGACATTTGACTAGGAACAAGAAGCTACGAACGGGGCTCCTGGCCTTACTAGGTACTCGACCGCTCGGAGCGAGGCATCGACCAACGACCGAGGCATCTGGCCCTGAGCACCACGCTGCTGGCGAGGGAACCTCACGGGGCTCGTCGCGGGGCTCAGCGACGGAGCCGGCGGAGCTTTGTTGGGAAACGGCGCTTGGGAAACGGCAAACCTTCCACCCCAATTGAAGTCAATGGCTAAGCGGCTTAAGCGTTAACCCCTCAAAAAGTGCTGTGGATATGGTGTTTCAAGGGAAAGAATATCTATATAGGTCGTGTGTATTTCTTTTTGGAATAGCTATAGAATATTATAGAATTATAGTGTCGTTTGACGTTTTTAGACGTGTCTCGTGGAGAGACCCAGTGTTTTGACAGGCGATTGCTATGGGCTTTCAGATGTTTTCAGTGTGCTGTTCTTTTTTAAGTCACACATCGTAGAATCAGGGATCAAGGGAACCATTTCAATCATGTGCAGCATGTCTCAGAAGCGCCCAAGCACCCCTCCACAACACACAAACGATCACAACATATTCACTCATGAAATGTATGGCCCCAGACGGTACTGCTTGGCCCCAGGAGTTTGCCCAGTTCGGGTGGTACCGCGGTTGTACGATGCCCAGGACTGGGCTGGCTCATTGGAGTGAATCGCCGGCCTTACTACGGCGGGGGCGCCAGAACCGGCTGGCGGAGCGGGCGCAAGTAAGCTGCGGATGACTGGGTTTCACTAAGTAGAATAACCTTGCTCAAGCTTAGCTCTGTTTTTGTTCCCTGGATGCGGTGTTTTGCCGGGAGGAGACTGCCCAAAATAGGTCATGAGTCAAGATGAGGCCACACAAAGTCTTTGTTCGTGTTACCCTGTTTGAGCAACCCACCTTCTATTTACGTATGCCAAAAACGCTTGAACATTATTGTGCTCTAGAATGCCGGCTTTTCCACAGTTCTTGTGGTCGTTTCTGGGGTAGGAATGAAGCTGCCGGGTGCGAACGTGTTCGGATCTCCCAGGCCTCCGAACTGACAGTGAGCGTGTGCCGGCCCTGGGCTGGAGACCTTTCAAGGCAGGTGTTCGTTCGAACCGCTGAGAGGGGTTGACTGAAGATCCAGTTGAGGTGACCAAGGAAACGACAAGATATACAGTTACAGTTAAGACTTTGGACTCATTACAATGAGCCAAAACCAGAGCACGGACGAAAGCAAAGGATCACAGAAAGCTTGATTGGCACAACATATCTTAACTCAAGAGCAGCAAGGATGTGCCAGCACCGCACAGCTTAGATGATTGGTGGCACCCCTAATGCCATGGTAAACAACGTCAGCCCCCCCAAGGTGTTAACGTTTGTCGGTAAAACATGCAATCGGCATGGCTCCCTGGCCTCCTGCCAACTCTTTATCGCCTATGACTAGCAGTTCAAGAAAGGGTTTGAACCAGACCGGAAGTGTTTCATTCAGCCCTGGCCACGCACCGACATTTGTGCTAACCCTTGGCTGGACGGGCTGAACACCGACATTTCAGGGTCTCAGAGGTTTAGATGTTTTTGTTGTTTTGCGGACTTCTTTGATCTGGCGATTGCATGCGATAGCAGTATATGGGAATTCTTTTATGGTATCCACCATCCTAGTAAGGCCCATGGTAGATGACCGCTTTCAGGTATTTCGGATATTTTTGACTCTTGCGAATTCTTCCGATACAAATAGGGTTGCTCCATTCAAGAACCAGTCCGTTCTCTTTGCGCCAGCCCGTAGACCTAGGTGTAGTAGCTGCTTCAGGCTCAAAGAAGAGATCGCCTGTCACAAACAGTGGCTTTGGTGCGATGTCTAAGCCAGGGAGTGATGCGGGAGAGTCGACGGAGAGCTTCTACAGTGTGGAGACGAGCAGTGGTGTCCTGGCAGAGGACGAGTCAGAGAAGTACGAGATGATCTTGATGGATGTTTATCCCTGTTCAATGCACTCACGGTTGCAGTTGCAGTCCTAATTCTTTATTTGGAATCTTCTTGACTGGACGAGGGCGTTGTCCTCCGCAAATCGAGTTTCAGGTTCCAATGGTGCGTCTTGTTTTGAGCATTCCAAGACACGGTCACCCCTTTCGGGTGCAGCTATACAGCACAAACCTGCCCAGCGGTTTTGATCAAAACGAGTCCACAAAGCAGTTGAGCCAGAGAGTCGTGGTTTTGGTTTCAACATTTTGAGCCCAGATTTGCTTGGGCTTCGCAGCTAGGCTTGGGCCATGAGAGCCCTCAGCACGAGCCCGAAGAGGAAACTCAAGACGTACCAGAGCCGGTGATCGCAGAGGAGGAACTGGAGGAAATCTATCGAGAGCTGGAAGAAAAATGGGGATGCTCAGACGGCAAAGCAGGTTGTGTGGCAAGTTAGGGTGATGAAACTCGGTCGCGGTTGGGACTCAAGATGATTTGGGTCCATAAGCCACTGGATGCAACACACAGACATGACAATGATATACAATGATATGAGATGATGAGACTATATACTATGGATTACTTTGGTATAAACCTTTCTATATCCTTAAATGCTATGATATGTTTTGTAATACATTGTCTCTTTCCAGGATGATCTCTACCAGACTCTTCCCCCCCAGTTCATTCGGCAAGTTCGGGAGATCCTCGGAGTAGAAGGACCGCCATTGAACTGGGACACCAAGCTTGTCAGTTGCAAAACGGCGGTTTCTGGACAGATGGATGTGGTGAGGAATGGGAAGGGTGTCCATTTAAGAATTAGTATATAAATCATAGTAAATCCATCCTTGACCCTATACTTTTTGCATAGGTGGGACAAAGGTGGGAAACCCGATATTTGGGAGAAATGCTTGTCTATTATAGTATTATAGGTTTTTACGTTCAGTTCTGTTAAGTCAGAGTCAGGCACAGAAGTTGCTTCGCGTGCTGCGCTGATTTCCACTATGACACTATGATGACCTTACAAAATGATTGGACAAATCGGGAAGCACATGGACGGGGCTCCTCATATCACCCCATAAAACAGCAGTAAACCCTGTACCTGTGTTCAACTACTCTCAGACAAGTTCACCTTGGGATCTCAAAGTTAACTCATATATATATATATATAGATGATAGCGGGCTTAAGAAAAAGCACACACACACACCACATACTGTAGATGGCAACGACTTCCATGTATTTTGGGTGCAAGCTCTTTCGAGTGTGGAAAAGTGTATGCAATACCCCTTCCGGGCTTATTGATATTGCAGCACTGACTGAGTGGATAAAACACAAAAACAGGGTGACTCCTTGGGGCAGTGAATCGCACCGACGGAGCCGAGGCGTGTGCGTGGGACTCTATGTGCACGGCTCCACGATCTTCGGGAATCATCGGCCGAAAGACCTCGACCTCATTGCGGTGGTGGAGGACATTGACTTGGTGAAGAAATGCACAAAGCGGTTCATGATGGTTCATGTTTGTATGTAGAAATAATACGTATATGTATGTGTATATATGCATAGTGGCTTCTGGAACTTTCTGATTGATTTTCTTGAGATGATTGTCGTATTATTTTGAAAGCTGCGAGCTTTTTGTGCTTGCTTTCTTGCCTGCAAGATTTAAAAGATCATTCTTGAGTTGTGCTGCGGAACTCACGGGGTGCTTGCAGCAGATGAACAGAATACAGATCGTTCGTCACATGTCATGCATGGACTCCATTTGCTGAAGAAGGGCTGTTTTGACACAGTTGTTTTCTTGAACAACCACTCATTGGGAGCACCTGAAGAACTTTGATCTCCAGGAGCCAAAGCAGGTCATTGCCGAGGATAGCCCTGACTCCCAATTCCTCCTGGGACGCTGCGAGGTCTCAGTGTCCCTTAGACCCACTGTCGCATGAAAGAACAAGGGTCACCAGACCGTAGGAAACGCGGCGTGTTTGGCAGCTTCGAACTTTCTTCCGATTATGAGTGACGACTGTGTGCATATATATATATGTATATGTATGGACATACAAGTATACAATTATACAATTTACATGTCACACACACAAATAATAAATATGATCCTCGAACTCCATCCATGCTCTATGTTCTGAAACCAGGAATTGGCATGCCAGATTTCAATCGCAGCGCTTTGGCCGAGCCTGTTTGGCCCCGAGTTTAGCCAGGCATATTGAATGGACCAGCCCTTTTATAAGATCGACTCGACCCATGAATGGTCTGTCATTTTTTTGCTACCACTTCAAAGCCTGAATAAACATTAACACCGTGAATGATTAATGGCGGTGTGTCATATTTGTTGCTACCACTCCAGAGCCTGAAGACCCAACAACCTGGACAATGAAAGCGAATGATTTCCTGGATACAAGAATTGGATGAACTTGTTCTGAAGGGGTGGGCCAGTCGTTATCGGCCAACTCGTTGGCTGACTGTAAGGTATGCGAAGTCGTGCTTTCTGGAAAAGCTGGAGAACATGGATTTGACCATGCTCACCTGCCTGAACACTCCTTCTCGCTTTGTCCTAAAGGAGTTGGAGGAGCTGCTTGTGGATGGTGGGTGAGCCAGGCAGACTGTGTGGTCGCTCCGGGCTTGTAGCGCAGCAGGGCACGGCGCAAGCCCTGGACAATTCCAGCCCCCCAGTCTCCTCGAATGGCTCGTGATCCTGCAGGACGAGCGGCTGCGGAACTTCAAGGTGGATCTGGAACGCTTGGAGGCCGAGCGATTCGAACCGCCAGAGATCAGGTACTTGTGTCAAGGGAGATGAAGGGAGAGGGCTTCGACAAGAGTGACAAAGGTAGGTGGTGACTAATAGCTTCTTGCTGGTAGTCATGCCCTTGTTACTTGTTACTAGATGTTACTAGTAGCGATGCCCTTGCTTGTTACTAGTAGCTTCTTTGGGGGCTTAGTGTTGACACTGGCTGTGAGGCCTCGGTGATCTCCTATGCGGTCTTCACCTGGCAGAAGTTCCAGCGGGTGGGGACCCAAGAGACCGGATCCGGATCCATTCGTCACTGGCGCCATAGCCATGGCCACAGACAACCAGCCGGCTTGCCATAGTGAATTTGCGACACCCGGACTTGACGGTTGGGTGCCACACAGCCTGCCAATGTCGGGACAGCCACATGTCAATCCAACTCTTGGTGCTGTGAACGATCGAGGTCTTGGATGAGTGGAAGGATCCCTACAAGTCCAGCCACCTGGATCGGTTTCACGGATGAGGCACGGAAAAACGGATTCCGTGCTTTCCCTCATGGGCCTGGCTGGTGTGAACAATTGCCAAAACTCATTTGGTCCAAAACAAAAAATGCTTAAGATTAACTTTATTAATCGCATTTCATCCGACCTCATGGCGTTCACAGCGAGTACTGGAGGGAACTTCCTGTGATCAGCTCGCCTGTGGTTCCAAGATGTTCCAAGAGCAAAAACACACGGACCAAGATCCTTCAGATATTTACCCTTTTTATAATATACGATCTAGGATCTTCCAAACCTTTCTGTGGCACCACGGAGGGTACAGCCGGACGCTGCAGAGTTTCGTCCCATTTCTGATCTGCCCAAGATCGGTAAGTCTTCCGATCGTATGGAATCGTTTGGATATAGACTAGACATAGGCAAAACATGGACGAAAACAGCATGTAACTTGCATTTAAACAAATGCAACTTTGCACAACCGAGAACCTCGACCCGCAAAAAGGTCCATTGTGTTCTTTCACTGAGGCAAGAACGCCTACTTCGTGTTCCGCGTGTTGACCTTGGGCGAACAGCTGGCAACCTATGGCCGAATTGTGGATCTCAAGGCGTCCAACCACCTTTGGGAGGACATCAAAGAGGCTGGACCAGCCGAAGGATGGAGGGGAGATTGGTATGATCGTATGTTTGAATGCAAAACTCAATCAATGGATGCTCACAGCTTCTCCACAGGTTCTCAATACCGTTTGTTGAAGGTCCTGAATCCATGAAACAATATAATCCAGCATTGTCCAGCACCAGAGTCAATTACAGTAAGGTCTAGCCAAGTCATAGAGAGTGTTTTCCTTGATGATTCCAGGTTGCAAAGAGAATGCAGAAACGGGCAGCACCCAGTACCGCCGCCCGCCTAGCCCTGCAGGTCTACGACACCTTGCAGATTCAACCGGGCGATCCCTGGATAACATCTTTTTGGATCGAAATCATAATTGCAGTCGATCGATTTGTAATTTTCATAAATGCAGAACAAACCACATTATAATATATTATATACTCATTTCAGGTACCAATAGGTGAGACCCTTAGTCAGCGTCACCTGGATGACATGTCCAATGTGGAGCGCTTAAGCCGAGGACACCAATGTGGTGGAAGCTTTGCTGGCGCACCACTTCGCTGAATCTCTCCGCAGCTTCCGTGCCGCCCTGGCCGCCGCGCAGCATGCGCAGCGTGACGAAGCGGCCGAGGACGCCGCGGAGGGTGCGAAGCCCATCGTGGAGACCTGCGCGGCGACTGGGACACACGTGTTTCGAGAGAATGCGTGAAATCTTGAGTCCTGAATAGTCTTGATCAATTATGATAAATTAACATGAATTGGAGGTCTCAAACTAGAGGACAGCTTTTTGTTTTCAAGGGATGTGCTTTTCTATTTTTGGTAATGTTCTATTTACTTGATTGGGGCGCAAGTAGCTCTGCACACCTTGAATGTTTGTTCCGAATTCCGGTATCAAGGTTTTGAGCTTTCAAACAGGTTCGAACCTTTTTGCCCAGGTTTGTTTGGACGCCCTTGATGCGGAGCAGCGTTCAATCAAGGGCGTGGCGTTTGGGTGGGTGCAATTGGCGGCTTGGCAGGACATGCCTTCGGCTGATTGAGATGAATCTGGCGGTTGAATCAGCTGATTGATGGTGGAGAAAGGGAAAGCACCGGCACCACCACTCGGGCAGACATCCCACCCAAAAAGGCCTTTGTGGTCCAACCCAGCTTGTGCCTTCAGTCAAAACCAGAGCCTGTGTCAGTCGTTGTTCAGCTCCGATGTTCTTCCCGCATTGCCCAACCAGATCCCACCTGCACGGTTCAGCCTGTGCAGGTCTTTCATGTTTTTTGGCACTGGTCCTGGTGAGGTCAAATCATCACATCGGTCTAAACCTTCCAAACACCCTAAATGCTAAAGGCTGAAGCTTCTGCAGGTGGCCTGGCAGATTGGGTGCGAGCACAAGAAAAAGCACCTTTTCGAGACATATACATATATAATATTTAATAGTATATTTTGATTTATGTTATATATGTATAACATTAAATTAATACATGGATGGTCAGAATCATAATGTTTGACGTATTGGTGCACTGGGTGCGATGGGGATGGATGTGAGGGTTCACTCCTTAACGAACTGAACGGATTCTCTGAAAGAGAATCAAGTGTCAAGTGAAACTTTGTTCTTACATGCCTCTAATATACCTGGGCCTGGTGGACCTCGTTGAACCCTTTCATCATCCGAGTTGCGATCCATCCTTCCGTGGCGCCCAATCATGTCAGGTCAACTGTCGGCATTGCTTCCATGCCGCCTGCATCGCGAAGTCCCTGCGGGCGCGGCCCGATCACCCAGCCTGCCCTATGTGCCGGGCCTCAGCCACTTCGCTGAAAATTCGGGGTGGGACTATCAAAAAGTATCTTAACATGGAGTTCCAATGATGGTCAAGCGGTCAACTAGTGGGTGGAGGCTCTCTGAAATACTTGGCAACGACGAACATGGCCCCGAAACCCCTTTCTTCCTGACTTGGCTGGTTCTCTTTGAAGCCTCGGAACTGTATGCGGAGCCATAGGGGTTCCATGAGTGGAGTCTAACATTTGGATGGGATGTTGAAAAGAAGCTCAACTGGTATGACCAGCTGATCCGATCGAATCCATGTGACTGAGGAGGGTCTGAAGCACCTGAGGCGTTCAGTTTGTGTGTTCGTGGATTGTCTAATCGTACTCTACCCAGACAGTTCAACGTCAGCACCACTATCTGACCATTAACTCAATTTTACTTGTAGCAGATTAGGACCGCGGGAGTCAGCGTTCAGTTTGTAAGAGAAAGGATCGTTTTGCAAAGGTCTTTCCCCCCGATACGGGGACGGAAATCATCCACCCATTGTTTCGACCTCGCGTTTGGGACACTAGAGTTGATCCAGTTGATGGGCAACCATTGCCCATTTTGCCCGCCAAGGTGAGGATCGATGCCACCAGCGACCCAAAGCTTGCTCCATGGTTCGTCCGTGAGCCAACGTTCCCTGCATCCTCCCGCTTTACAACAACCCGACGCTTGGCTTATGCCGGGTATCCGGCCACCCTGCGCGTGGCTGCGGTGCCGGTGCCGGCGGCGATGGACCGCAGCATGGTGCCAAGACATTAAGCACCAGCTTTGTTCTGAAGCCCAGAAGATAGTGTAACTTGATGTTCACTTGGCAAAGATCAGAAAACACAAAAGTGGAACAGCTACCGTTGTGTTCTTTACAATAATTCTCAGCTCAACATTATTGATGAGAATCAGGTCGTACAGTTGTGTGGCCATACCCTGTACAGTGTACAGCTGCCAGCTGACGACCAACATGGCCTTCATGACCCTAGCCAGACAAAAAGAGCTTCCTCCACAACTAATGTTGTTAACCAGTGCCCTTATCCTGCGGGATGGTCCTCATTAATTTGACTCGAAGTCATCATGATGTGTGCCATAGATTTGGGTCATTTCAACACATGAGAGACCCGCTTTGGCCCTTGGAAATGGAAGAGTTGTGCTTTGATAATTGTCACTACTGAGTTGGACAAGGTTGTACATTTGATGATTCCACCAAGAACCGAAGGCCTTCTTTCGTCCTCATGACTTGGCATGGGCTGCGTTTTTGCGAAGTGAGTTGGGATGAGTTGGGTGGGGGGTACACTTGGGGGCTGGTCTTCTAAGTGGAATCTCCCTGCTACCCAACTGCACACGATGTGGCCAGGGCCAAGCCCCAGCGCCACGGGTGGAGGGTTTCGCCAGCCTGGGAGATGCCTGCCTACGCTTGGCCGAGGCGAGATCGAATCGGGTTGAAGGGAAACTGTTGCTGTGGTTCTGCCCATTCAGTATCAGTAGCTGTAACTGAAAGACACTCATCATCATATTGTTCATTCAGCAGCTCCTCGTTGGCCCTTCACGATCGGTTCTGGTTCAGTCTTGGGTGAGAGGATGTTTGACGACTAAGAGTTTTGGGTGGTGAAAAATCATCCTTTGTACTGCCCAAATTATTTCCTGGGGGTGCACTACGCTTTTTGAAATGTCGAAATGGACAAACAAGTTGTTCTCAGGGCATATAGGAACAGGCCACCCAGGAGATAAATCCTGACTTGGCCTCTAAGTTGGAGAGGGGGGGTTGGGGGCTAGGATTTAATTGTATTGAATAAGAGTTTTGTTTTCTTTTTTCCGGGGGGGGTAAGGGGACAGGGGAAAAATGTCACTGTTAAAATGTTGTTTCTGCATGTTCCTGGAGGTAGGGGGTCAGGAAAAAACAGCTGAGTGAATACATGACCCAAAACCATGCTTGCTTTTTGAAGTGACCATCATCACCCTTTTTCTTCCCTCTAATATTTATCTAATACGGGAGATGTTTGAGACGATTGCGAACATTTTGGGACTAAGGACTGACTAAGAAGAAGAAGAAGAAGAAGAAGAAGATAGGGAAAGGAGAAGAGGGAAGCACGAATCAGCACACTACGACCCTGTGCTCTCACCAGTTGTTTGCGCACCAGGATTTTGCAAACATATGAAAATGATAACACAAAATCAACATTCATAGCATTTATGTCCTTGCGGGCTGACCATATCAGGTTGCATTACCATCATTACCATTCATTACCCATATTCAAAGCTGACAGTTGAGGACAAAAATGCCACACCATTCCAACCCACACCCAGACTCATCCTCAAAGACTGGACTCACACCACAAAATCTGAAAATCCAAGGTGAAACTGTTTTTGTCCATTAGGGCTGACCAAGTCCAATGACATTCACCATTTGCAAGGATGGTGCATCTGGACAAAAATCCACACCATTTCACATGCAACCACCCCACACCCAGATTTAGATCCAAAGACCCGACTCACATCACAAGTGGTGAAAAACCGGTGTGACAGAAATTTTGTCCTTTGGGGCAGACCATGTTCATTGACATATGTTTGTTCAAGGGTGACTCCTCTGGAAAAATATCCACTATTCCATACACAACAACCCCCGCATCCAGACTCATCCCCAAAGACTGGGGGCGGGCAATCGCTTGTGCACTTGGGGTTTTTGTTGCTTGTGCACTTGAGTTTTTTGTCACTTGTGCACTGGATCAAGGTAAGAAATGCAGAGCTTCTTTCAAACGCATCACGTGCCTCAGCTAGAACCAACAAACAAACAGCTAATTTAGGCTGCACAGTCAGGGTCGCAATGGCAATTTTGACAGGTATTCAAAGTACGCGGGGAAACATGAGTTGATTTGATCAGTGTTTTCTGACTGAGCTTGTCCCAGACCTCATCGTCGCTCAGCTGTTTCACTATCAAAGCAAGGTTGGAGATTGAATGTTTTCCCCTCAAAGGCAGCAGCGCTGTGCAACAGGCTCCAGTGCTACTTATCAGTTGGGTCGCCCATTGCTTTTCATGTTCGCCAATTTTTCGCGCCCAGGTTCCGGTTCCACCAAATCGATGCAGCAGTCGCAACTTACACGAACTCAACTCACACCAAGTCAACAGCTCACCAACTCATCTCAAACCAATCACACCATCTCGTGCCAATGACCCTGACGCGTGTGCGGATCCGAGCGCATGGCAGACAGCATGAGCTGTCTGTGCCTGCAGCTCAAGCAGCTGGCTGCGCGCGGGCGCTGCGGGCTGCGGCGGCTGGCAGCCGGAGGCGATTCATGTTGGCCGTGCCCCTTGGTACTGATTATATAAGCCATCGACGTGTAACATTTGCATTTTAGGATCTTTAAGCTATCCACTGGGAAATGCTTGATGACGTCCTAGTAGAAGCGGACATGCGAATGATTGGATTCGGCGCACCACTGTCAGTTGTACCCACACATGTGTCACCCGTACCCTAGACAAACAACACACCCACGCAGAAACATCTTGCATGAGTTTACCCGAATTGTGTTTTCCACCACTATTGAGAGTTCAGGTTTCAAGGGTCTTCATTTAAACGTTTTCAGGTTTTCAGGCGTTCACGAAAGACCCTTTCCGGTACATCTTCCAGTTGAGAACCTTTGTTTTCAAGTCGCTTGATGACGCGCCCGTGTTCAAAGAAGCTTGTGAAAAAGTCCGCCGCGGCAACACTATGGAAGTGTAGAGCGAGCTTGCGCTTGCGTTCGCTGGATCGAGATGGTGTGAAGGAGGAGATCCGCAAGTGGGCTTCTCAGGTGAGTGGTCAGCAGACTGAGATTCGATTATCGAAGCATGACAACCGTCCAAATCATTACCGGTACATCTGGAAATGCGCGTCGTCTTCTTTTGCATCCTTGGCTCCAAAGACGGAGAGACTCGGAGAGACATATGTCAAAACAATTTCCAGTCCTGGCTGTTCCTCTTCTTGAGTCACTACCCAAAAACTGTTTAGTAATACCCAGTGCACAAATCTGGATCAGACCAAATCGAAGTGTTGACAGAGAGCAACAAGTGTACAAGAAATGCTTTTTTTCTCTTTCTTGTCCACGGCGCATCGAGCGATACAAGTCTGAACACGACCGCAGAAGTGAGCGAGGACGGCTGAAGAAGGGAGCAAGGACTTTCAACTCTGAACGCGACCGAAGAGCAAGGACATCAACTCTGAACAGGACCGGAAGAAGAGAGCAAGGTGTTGTTGCAACCTGTTTCAGAGCAGATGGTCCCGTGGCTTTGCGCATGGTGATTCTTCTCGTCCTTGCAGGGAAGAAAAGCCTGTTCTTCGAGCATCGTTGTCTACGTCCGTTCATGACACATCTTGATGGGCTGAAGACTTGGCTTATGCATGGACAGAGAGTTGGTCCGCATCCTATGATGGAACCTCTAGCTGCGATGCGAACCACATTGCTCAATTACTGGAATGGGGGTTGGTTGAACGGGGGTATGTTTGTTTGCGTGTGTTCTTTTTGTGTCTAAGTGTTGTTTACTACTTTTTGTGTTTAGTGGTATTTAAAAACAAGAGGTAGTCTACAATGGGCTAGGGGATGATTTCGGACCTCCACTTTTGAGGCATTTACATGTTACTCCAACATACATACTTTCATTGCTTACTTCAACATCTGACATCTGGCTTCATTGCTTATTCCAACATCTGGCTTCACCAACATCTGGCTTCATTGCTTACTTCAACATCTGGCTTCATTGCATACTCCAACATCTGGCTTCATTGCTTACTTCAACATCTGGCTTCCAACTTCATTACTTACGTAACACTGCAACAAACAAACTGGTTTGCAAACCAAACCTCTAGTTTGAAAACTCATTCCTTCATTATATATAAATGTTGCTTGTGAGGTGGGGGGTGGGGGGAGAGGGCTCTTGACTTGGCAGGTGTCAAGGGGGGG